TTTTATTTCTGTTTTTTTTTTTTATATTGCCTGAAAGAATACTTGAATGTCTGTCTTCAATGACTGTAAGGTGCTATCCTACATTCCTACTGATCAGGTAAGATTGAATTGAAAGGTACATGACAATACAAATTGCAAGGTACCTATTACCTACCTAAATTTTATGAATTTGTCAGGTTAAGGAAGGAGAGATTGATATTATGATTCATTTTTAACTTGTGTTGAAGCTCCCCCTACCTATGTTGGTTAATGATAAAACCACCACAGTCCACAGCCCACAGGTTTGCATAGGTTCTGCCCCTTTCAATTGCAATGTTGCTGGTCATCCGTTGGCAGAATATTTAGAACTAAGTCTGCTCATCAGAACGTAAGTTTGTTTAAGTTGTTGTTGTGGGACCCTGAATACTTTGGATCCTGAGATGTATTCTTGCCGTGGGACCTTGAGGACTGTGGACCCTGAACTCTGAAGTGTGTACTTGTCATGGGACCTTGGGGACTGTGGATCCTGAAATTCACACTTGTCGTGGGACCCTAGGGACTGTGGATCCTGCAATGCATTCTTGTCGTGGGACCTTGGGGACTGTGGACCCTGCAATGTATACCTGCCATGGGACCTTGGAAACCTTGGATTCTAGAAATTGAATTTGCCGTGGGACCTTGGAAACCTTGGATTCTAGAAATTGAATTTGCCGTGGGACCTTGGAAACCTTGATTCTAGAAATTGAATTTGCCATGGGACCTTGGAAACCTTGGATTCTAGAAATTGAATTTGCCGTGGGACCTTGGAAACCCTGGATTCTAGAAATTGAATTTGCCGTGGGACCTTGGAAACCTTGGATTCTAAAAATTGAATTTGCCGTGGGACCTTGAGGATCCTGGATCTTGATTTTTGGTCCCGGCACAAGTCTGACTGTAATTCATTGTAAGAGGCACTGGGCTGCGCCGCCTGTTAATTATTCCGAAACAAATGATCTAAAATTCAGTCATCAATGTCAAGAAGCCCGTAAAAAGTCTCTGAAAATGTTGGGAGTAATATATAGAAACGTTAATTATAAAAGTAAAGACGTTATGAAAAAACTTTATTGTTCTCTTGTTCGTCCACATTTAGAGTATTGTGCACAGGCATGGTACTCGCCCTTTAAAAAAGACGCCAAGTCTCTAGAGCGTGTGCAGAGGAAGGCCACTAGGATGGTGCATGGTTTTCGCGGGATGATTTACAGAGAAAGGCTTGTCTCGTTAAATATGTTTTCACTCCATTACCGGAGAGTGAGAGGTGATTTGATTGAATTGTTCAAAATTTATAGAGGTATTGATAAGCTAGATTTTAAGAGCTTATTCACGATAAGCTCGAACTCTACAAGAGGACATGGATGTAAATTGGTAAATAAATTTTCAAAAACGCGTTTAAGGCAATCCTTTTTTACTAACCGCGTCATTGATATGTGGAATAGCTTACCTCCTTGGGTTATTGATAGTTCCTCCCTTAACAAATTCAAACATAACGTGGATTTGTATTTTACGGAGCGTGGTGCGGTCTTTGACACCATTGAAGACGTAGACAACTCTGATAGGTTTCATTGTTAGGATACACTCATTGCATTCATTGTCATGTAAATCTTGTTCAGTGTGCATGAATGTGTACATCACTGTGTATTTCATCCTTGTTACCTTGTTGGGCTCCTGTAGCCTGTTGTTACATTGTAATATATGTTATGTTATGTTATGAAACCACCAGTGAATTGTCACAGTCACTCACAACAACAATACGAATCGTTCAGTCGTGCGCTGGGGGTCCGCCAAGTTTGAGTGTGCTGCAGAATGCAGACTGGACCGCCGAGAATATAACACTTCCGTCTCCCTGGGCGAGCGGCGCATTGGAGCCGAAGGAAACTGCTTCAGTTTTTTTTTTGTGGGGAAGATACCCATGTTTGAAAATTATGTTCTGGAATGATGCGATAAGGAAAAGGACGGTCTCTTGAATTGAGGGCTGTGGAGAAGAAGCAGATTTTCTCATTTGCTACCCGATACAACGCGAAAAGACGCAAATGTTGCACATTGGGCTTAATAAGTCTAATAAAAGATAAGGGACTTCGTGAATCATGCCTAACTGACCGCGACCCAGTTATTTGCCACTGCAGGTAGGTACTAGGTAGGTAGATACTCATTTGTAAACAGAGCGTTCCACCAACCCTCGCCAGAAATTCAAACAGCAGTTGCTTATCTTAAAACGTTTGAGTGCACCTAACAACCTTTAAAAGTGACGTCCTCCCTTTCAATGGTTCGTTCGAAGACACAAAGCCAGAATCAGCCAAGCAATATCGGAATCCATTGCGCAGTGTGTCGACTGTCGGATGTGCCCATCCACATAGCATAGCACACACTGCTAAATGCAGGTACCCTCACCTACACATTAGGTATTCGAAGGACTTGATAGCTCATACACATGGAAGAAACGCATGAAATGTGATTAATAGCTGCAGCAGAAGTTTGGCGTCCGATGCCTCTTCGCCAAGTTAAGACCATGCCAATCTCGGCCAGTCTGCCGCCGCGCCGGCACTGGCCGTGGTGTGACGTCATCCGGCCGGCTCGGCGCTGGGTAGTTCCACACTTAGGTAACTCGCCTCCGGGCCCACTCCGCCAACAGTCACCGCTCCGCCGGCGGCACTGGAACCCACCCGCGGCTGTAACCACCGCGGCCAACGGAGCTCGATTAATTTCACCGGCCAATTATCTACACGGGCGTAAACGTCATCCGCTGGGGAGGCGCCGGGCCACATTAACCGGCCGATAACTCAGCGTCCCGCAGTGACACCAAGGACAGCGCTACTGCGCGCCCGGAGGGGAGCAGCCGACACGGTGTGCAACCGGACAGCAATTAGGCTGAGTTTCATAACCGTAATGACACTGAAACGGACGCCAGCTGAGCAGCGGAGGCCGTTCGTCATGTAAAACGCTTGATGAGACAGCAGACGCGCTATGGTAGCGTTAGCTCTTTGGTATTCATGTGCTGATATCGTTAATCGTTTCCTACGTAGGTACCGTTACTGAATTATACATCGATTCGGTACGCACTGAATTTGAATTGTTCAATGAGTATTACAATTATTTCATGGTTACTGTCGAAAATGTAAGACAATTGCAGTGTTGACAGCAGCTTCATATTTAACACGCACACTTAATTTAGGAGGCATGCTTGTCGGTCGGCCCAGGTGACGCTGTCAGAGGTGCGTCGTTTTTTTCAATCCTCCAACCTCCGTGGTCTCCCGATAGCGGGCGGCGGTCGCGATTTGCCTGGCCGCTGCGGTATTGACAATCTGCGGGTATCCGACGCGTCTGCCTGGTGCTGTGACCTGTCGCGGAGCCATGACGCCCGGTCAGGACACGCCAGTTCTCCCAGGCGGCGTGTGTTATCCGTCTGGGCAGACTGGGCTTCTCCTGGCGCAGACTGGGCTCTTCCCAGCGTCCGTCTCTTCCCGGTGCAGGTCTGGGCCCCGGCCCTCCCGGCGTGGCGTGGTCTGTCGGGCGGCGGCCGATCGCCGGCCGGGGCCCGTCGGACCGTGACCGTAGCGCCGGTGTGCGAGTGCGTGTTTGTGTCGGCGGGGTGCGGTCGACGTGGACCGGCACCAGTCACCGGAGGATGTGCCGCCCATCCGCTCCCGCCACCGCCCCTGTCGGCGGCTACCCTACCACCAAGGCACTGATGGTGGCTCGCCAGACTGCTCTGGACGCCTCTGTCGACTCACCTGCCCCGATCATCGGTTCTGCGGGGGTAGGTACCCGCTGTGGCTGCGGCCGGCTGCCGGCGGTGGAGCCGTGTTCCCACATGGTGCGGGCTAAAGGTCGCCTCACTCCACCCGTGGGAGGCCCGCTGACCGATGGACTGGGTTTCCCGACCGGCTGCCGGTAATGCCGGGACTATAACTGCCTGGTGCACAATAATTACACGCTGCTCATGTGCACTGTGAATGATAAACTATATCAGAGTGATGCAATCGTGGTCAACATCACCTGACTTAATCGTCAGCAGTAAGGAGTAATAACAACACAACGCCACTAAATAATGTGAAGTGGGATGGCGTTACCGCCTGTCGCTCTGCCCGGCACCGCAAACCACTAACTGTCGCCGACCACATAGTGTTTGCGGCAGCCTGCTGTCAGATACTGGCTCGCCACTGTTTCACTGCTGCTGAGCCGACCACCGGCAGACGAGCCGACCGGCTCCTGACGGCCCCTAATGGCCCCAGTGCCGCCCCGGCGAGCCACTTTCACAGGACCGCGCGGCCGCAGACCGCCCATCGGACGCTAATTGACCCGATAGGGCAGACAGGGGAGGTGTCTGGACTGTCCGCCCAAAGGGAGGTGGCTTGGTTACTCCACCCGGCTGAGAGGGGTGGCGGCGGCTGAGCCAGGATCGGGCCGCCACGGCTGCTGCACTGAAAGGCGTGTACTACAGAAACTATCATCCTCCGGTGTTCGTTAGTGCTAAGGGAGTTTATCCGGAATTGCTTCGGTAGGGATTATCTGCCGAGGGTGTGTTTGTTTGGTGTAGCTTTGTGTCAGTTGGTTCCGTCGAGCGTGTTATCCTGGTGTATCCCTGATGCTCCACTTGTGGTTGTTGCAATGCCGCTGTATCCTGACGCGCCACTCTGTCTGCTCTAGTCCGAATTCTACCGCAGTACCCCGACGCCTCGCCCTATGTCTGTAGCAATCGAGCTGTCTCGGTGTATCGTAGCGCTCCACTGTGTGTCTGTTGCAGTCCCGGTACACCGTGACGTTCCACACTGTCTGTTGCACTCCGAATTCTCCCGTTGAACTCTGACGTCCCATTCTGTGTCTGCTCCAGTCTCGGTTCTCCTGGTATTTCCTGACTCTCAACTCTGTATCTGTTTTGCACTCCGAGTTCCGCCGTTGAACTCTGTTCTGTCTATTCTGTCTCTATTCTCTATTCTGTCTGTTGCCGCCCCGCCGTACCTTGACGCTCCACTCTGTGTCTGTTTCAGTCCGAGCGGAGTGAGCCTCACCTCCCGGGAGGAGGCGCGCCAGTACCTGCGCACCGCCGGCACCTGCAAGTGTGGCCTCGAGTGCCCCATCCTCGTGGAGAAGTCGTTCAACTTCGACCCGAAGGTAAAGTCGCCCACAGCTGACCCGACCCGGCAGTGGCCGGACTTAACTGACTATTAGAGGTGGCAAAATGTGGACCCGAGGACCCGGTCCAAAGAACCAGTCTGGACCCATATGGGTCCAGACCGGTTCCAGGAAATTTTCTGTCGGGTCCAACCGGGTCCTTCCATAAACTATACATATTGCACACTACACATTATTGCAAAATATGAAGTGAATGGAGTGAATGTTTCTTTGCACACAATAGCTCGTGAGTATTCCCAGTGGGAAATAGGCTGTTTTACTTGATGCAACTAACGATACCTACAAGTAGTTTGTATTAATTGACTTTTGGGGAACGGGTCCAACTGGTTCCGATTCCAACTAAGACCGGGTCTGACTGGTTCCAGAAATATCCAGCCGGGTCTGGTTCGAGTCTGGTTCCCAAAATTTTCATCTTTTGCCACCTCTACTGACTATCAACAACGCTTAGCAGGCTTCGCTATTATCCTTGTAACAATTGCATAATGCGCCCTATATTTAACCAGGAATGCTTTTGCAAAAACTTAGAGAAACTTGGGCTAGAAAACTTGGGCCCAATCTCAGCCCAGTAGTCATCAGGAGAGCTTAGCATGCTTCAAGAATGAGTTGATAAATCATTAAAAATCTCCCGAATGAACGCATCATTGAAGCAATACATTAATCTGATTGGTGAAAGAATAGAAATAGAGGGGCAAAGTAAAAAAAAAAAAAAAACTACGCTACTTCTGTTAACAGACCATTACTCAAGTCATTTTTGGGTTAAAACCAAGCGGCGGTTCAGTCTTTTCCTGCCTACCAGCGGCAGTCTGTGAACCGGTTCGATCCTCTGGCTGTGGGGCCGCCCGTAACACAGAATCGGCGCTGACCGCAGATCTGTGATCGGTCCCGATATATCGCTCATTTGTAGTGGACGCCGGCTACCGTGCTGTTTACAAATGGGCCGCGTGTAGGGCCGGCGGCGGCGATCGGAGATCGGACGGGGACCGGTCGGGGCCGAGCTGGCGGCCGAGCTGTCGGCCGCCGGACGGCTGACGTCTCGGGGACACCCGCGGGACGTGTGTCCGGCCGCGTGGGACGTTATCTCCGCCCGCTCCGACCGCCGCCTCCCAACACACGCCGAACGGTGACCCGTATTTCGGAGTCGCGGCGTCTCGCCGTGGAGCCTGTGGGGCCGATAGCGATCGACGTCGGCCGAGTGGCGGCTGCCGGGCGGGCGGGAGCCAGGTGGGGCGGTGGAGCGCCGCCGTGGCTGCTCGGCTGTCGGCCCGGCCCGCCCGGTTATCTGATGAACCCCTCGCATTTCAATGCCCGGCTCTGCTGCGGGGGGGGGGGGGGGGGGGGGGGGGAGATTGTGGCCTCTCGCCGGCCAGTTGTGTAACTAATTATTCCAGTTGGCGTGTTTTTGATCGTGGATGTGGGTGCTGAACAAGCGACTGTTTTGTAATATGTTGTCAGTCGTGTTGGGTCTGAGCGAAGGCGTCCGGGCGGCTCCTGCTAAACGAGTTGGAGGTTTGATGCAGTCAGACCAGTGAAGTGCTTGCTTCGTATCCAGCTAATGCGTGACGCAGTTAAGCTGTTAATAGTGGCGTAATTGTGTGCAGCGGAGCTGAGATGACTGATAAAACGCGAGTGTTTATGGTGTGCATTTCTTAATGTGCATAATATTCTTACACTGAGGCTGGCTTTGGGACGGCGTTGCTAATCAAGCGTGTTTTTTCTTCAAAGCAATGTGTTGAGAAGGGTTTAGGCCCGGTTTCAACGGATCTAACGATGAATTCAGCTGCCTGATTGAATTGCTGACCCCCCCCCCCCTCACTGAGTCATCTCCAACCCGTTTCATTCGCTGTTTTAACTTTTATCGACATCGAACCCCGCTCTCATTCCCATATACTGGGACATCGTTGCTAGCACGACGGGCGATCGCGGTTCTCTCCTTCACGAACCTCGCCGGACCAGGGGACACCAGCCGGATGGGGCTGGGCTGACCCGCTGCCAGTATTGGCCACAAGGCACGCACACATACGCTGTACGCGGCTCCAGCAGCTCGGCAGTCCGCTGGCGGTTTGTTGACAGACGATGATGCGTGAGGTATAGTAGGTGCTTCGGCTCGTTGAACCGAGGAAAGGACGCTGGCGAACGGGTTCAATGGACAAAACCAGTGCGCCACAAACTGGCGAGAGCTGCGCTGTAGTCATGCTTTAAATGCCGGGTCATACCTACTCAGCAAACACATCTGGTTTCGAATTTACGTACCATCCTACTAACTAGTTATATAGTCCCGAGAACCTACTATGCTCACTTTCTGTTGCGTTACAGTATTTATATCCGTATTATTAGTTACATGATTAAGCAATTAACGGCAAGCAATGCATACCTATGCAGTATTTGTTGATGATTTATAATGGGCACTTATCCGGTTGTTCTACGCCAGCTTAAATAGTGTTTTCTTCTATGTTTGCGCGTTCCATGCTGAGATGAAGGATTCTCGTCCTTTGCACCGCTCTGTGTTCGTGTTGAACCATTGATGTCTTCACACCCTGCATGTACCGTTTCTTCCTTTCCATTGTACTGGATCTAAACCCTGGACAATGGTTAGTGGTTAGTGGTGACCACTGGTGACCCCGACCTTACAGGTGATCACCAGGCCGCGGAGCGGCGCTGTCGGAGCGGTCCCCCCGGGCGGCGCCGTCAGTCCCAGTGAGACCACCAAGACGTGCAACCACCGCCGGAAACGGGCTGAGCTACAGCTGCGCCGCGCCACCGGAAAAGGTCAGCGCCGCCGGAGACATCGATTGGGCGGCCGCGGGGGAGGCGGCGGCGGCGCTGCGTGCGCGTGACGCGGGGGTGTGTGTCGCGGCGCGTGACGCCAGCGGGGGGACGGACGGGGTACGCGCCGTGTCGCCGGGCCGGGACAGGTGTGCCACCGGCGGCGGCCCGTTCAAACACAGCTGTTTGGACACCAGACGGTGACAAAAACCGGGAGCCCAGCTCCGGCCGCCGGCACTAACGGCCGCTACGCACGGCGCGTGTTATAACAAAAAATCCGACCGGGGACAACTGTGCACTTATGGTCACGCTAGTAAACTTGGCTTTATAGTCACGCTAGTGAACTATGACTGAAGTAACACAGACAAGCCTTCGTCCTACCTTTTGTACACACGTATGGTGACCGAATCTACGAAAGAAAACTACTGGCGCGCGTTTCGTGATGCTTTGCTCTCGTTCAGCAACTTGTCAGTGTGTTGCTTCCACCTAACCACAAAGGTGTTCTAACACCCCTACCTAGGCGTGGAAGTACACATCTTTACATTACGCCCGCTACGGCTGTAAGTTGACTGTGAGTTGATGCTCATTGATGGAATGTTGTGTTTCTTTGCCGGCAGATGTTCCTCCCACCTTCCAGGAGCAGCGATGTAACCCGCACAACAACCCCTTCTTCCGTGACCAGATGCTTCAGGTGGGTGGCAATGCGACACCGGCTCATCCTTTAAACCACCGTGCCTGCAATCGACTTCAACTGGTTATTTTGAACCGCCCGTCCACACTCAGTACCGTGCCACCCTCAGCGCCCTCTCAGTCCCCCGGCGCCGGACCAGCGTCCACCCCTGTCGTGTCCCGACGCTTCCGGCGGCCTCCATGTTTTACGATGATCGCTTCATTGTTTTTGGGATTAGCTATCAGCCATAATCCGGCCGTAATGCGGCTCCCGCCGCGGGCCGGGGCGCCACTGTCGCGGGGACACGCCGTAATCGGAGCGCGCGCTTATTACGGCGCGCCGGCCGGAAGCCGCTCGACATTGTCGCCGCTCCATCATAGACGAGTGCGGGTCCGGCCTTGAACTGCTTCAGCGGCTATTCCCGCGTAATGGGGCGATTGAATAGCGACCGCCTGATTAGCTGCATTTTTGTGTTCCTGTGAGGGTTACTGAAGAATTAGGACGGAATGATAATGACTTACGGCGAATACAGGCTGACTGGGATGTTAACTCGTTACCGTTTGCCGCGCAGGCGATGGAGCAGATGGGCTACCATCAGCAGCATCAGCATCAGCAGCAGCAGCAGCAGCAGGCGTACCAGCAGTCCCAGCAGCAGCTGTACCACCCCGGCCGGCAGCCGCACCAGCCGCAGTACCAGCCGGGCCCGGTGGTGACGCCCGCCGGGCCGCGGTGGCCGGCCGTGACCACGGGTCGGCTGCCGGCGCCGGCGGCTCCACCTCCCCACCTGCTGCGGGCGCACTGGGACGAGCTGAGGCGGCGGCGGGCGGCCGGCCGCGGCCGACGGCGCGCCTCGCCCTGTCCCAACGTGGAGGTGCGCCAGCTGCCGGGTGCCGGCGGCGACTCGCCTTCCTTCATGGACGATCCCAGCGGCTACCTGGCGCACCAGACCCAGCTGCTCAACGACACCATGCAGGAGGGATTAAGTCCGGTACCGGCCGAGGTGCCCATCCCCAGCACAGTGCCCCTGCCGGCCCGCGTCGGCAAGCACGCGCCACCGGAGACTCCGGCGCCGGCTGAGTCCCCGGGGGCGGCGCCCGACCGGGCCCCCGCGCCCGACTGCACGGCAGGCGACCCGCCGACCGCCGCCGCCGACTCTGCTGAGCAGGCGACTCAGCCGACCGAGCAGCCTGCCGACAGCGCGGAGTCAGAGTCACCGGCCCCGGAGTCGGAGGCAGCACCGCAGCCGGCCGAGTCAGCAGAGTCCAGTCGTTCCGAGTCGCTGTCGACTCCGGCTGAGTCGGAGGCTGAGCGGACTGGAGAGGCAGTCGTCAGCTCAGCCGGGGACACACAGACGCGGGCGGAGGCGGCGCCGGCCTCCACCAGTGCGCCCGGCCCGGCGGCGACTCAGGCACAGCAGACGGTGGTGAGCGGGGACGCCGAGGTGCCGCTGATGCAGTCGCTGCCGGCCGGGCAGATCCTCCTACCCTCCGGACAGCTGATCCTCACGCAGCCGTTCCAGCCGATGCTGCAGTACGTGAACGCGTTCCAGATGCAGCCTCCGCTGGTGGTGTCGGCCGGCGGGGCGCTGCTGCGGCCGCAGCAGGCCGAGCCGACCGACCAGACGCCAGCCGGCCGCAGGAGGCGGCGCCGCCAGACCGCCGGCGGGCCGGCCGCCCCGCAGCGCTCCCAGCAGCAGCAGCAGCAGCAGGCCGGACTGCAGACGCTGCTGCTGCCCGGCGGCGGCGGAGGCGGCGCGGCGGCCGGCGCCGGCAAACAGGCTCCGATGGTGCTGAGCGGCGGCCAGGCGGGCGGAGTGAACTTTCTGCAGCCGCTGCTGCTGCCCGGCGCCGGCGGCCAGCTGTTCATTCAGAGCGTCGGCGGCCCGCTGCTGTCCACCTCCGTGGCTGGCGTGCAGGCCGGCGGCCAGCTCCTGCAGGTGGTGTCTGTGCTGGGTGACCAGTGCCAGAGCTCGCTGTCCGCGCCGCCGCCGCCGCCGCCGACAGCCGAACACCAGACGCGCATGGCGGCCGACTCGAGCACCTCGGACCGCGGCTCGCCGGACGGCGGCGGCGGCGGCGGGCCGGGCAGCTCACCGGGTGCGCGGGACGAACCCGTCAGCTCCACCGGCGAGCCAGCCGACGAGCCGCCGCGACCGGCAAAACGACCCAGGCAGACCGCCGAAGGTATGTCACCGCGTAAACTTGGACCTGATTGTTTCAGTTTGTGGTGCCGGTAAGGCATCAATTTTAAATTTACATAGTTATTATGCAGTCACTAGCATGCTCTTAATGGAGCAAGGCTCTAGGCTGCTGTAGAGGTATGAATCCCCGTATTTGATTAATTTAGTTCAATTTCAACGCCATCTTCTGACCGTCTATCGACCTTGCTCTCAGTCGCCTAGTCGACGCCAGACCGCCCCTGCCGGCTCGCCTCTGAACTAACGTTTCCCGGCGCTCCGACAGATGACGAGTGTGATCCGCCGTTCAGTACCGGTGACATGGTCTGGGGCTCTCACCACGGACTCTGCTCCTGGCCGGGCCAGGTGATCGAGCGCACCGACGTACAGGCAAGTGAGCGCACCAACTCGGTCACGAACGCTGCGTGCAACTTACGTTAAGTTAATTTTAGCACAAAGGTTTTTGTTCAAGATGGATGAGTGCAGCTGGCGTGCGTCTTCTTCAACTAAGTGATCAATATTTCGATCAAGGAATACCTCCCTCAAATGAATGGAGGCTAAGGCCAGCTGAGCATGATGTAATCCTTTTAATAGTATTTTGATGTTTATGAGAGCGTACAATATTAATCAAACCCATCCCATGCTTGCTGAACGACACGCCCACCTGCGGCTGATTATCGCTGACCGCTCCGCTGACTACCATCCGCTACCTCGGACAGGCGTGCGATCCATCGCAGGTATGGGTGCAGTGGTTCGGCGACCACACCATGTCACTGGAGGCCGTCGACCAGCTAAGGAGGCTGCACGGCCAGGGCGCCGGCAAGCGCAACAAGTAAGTGCCGCGTTCACGGTGATAACAATCGTAGTACTCGGTCACTGCAGCTGTGGGTACTTTACAGCAGGGGCCCATTGGTAGCTGGTGTAGGTACCCGTAGGAACCTACCAAGAACGAACACTAGACCTACGTCAGTTCGACTCGCTTGTGGAACACCTTATTTCAACTTTTCTGCTTTTGGGAAGGCCGTTTCTCGTTGTGTTCACCAACACCGGTTCATATTTGAACTCGCAGCACTCAGCTTTCTCGTTTGCTAGATTTATGAACAGATCACCTGGAAATTGTTTCCGTTTCCTTCAATCGTTGTTTTCTTTCCGTCAGATCTCCGGCGGGGAACAGCAGTTTCGAGGAGGCTCTCAAAGAGGCGCTGGCGGCGGTCGAGCGCCAGCGGAAGTAGCAGTTGGTGATTGTGTCAACAGGTGGCAGCTGATACCGAGTGCAGTCGTACAAACCCGAGTCGCACCCGTCGCGGGACTCACTAGTCGTAGGGATCTGATCAAAGGACACCAGTATGGATGTTGGCGCATTGTTTTCCATGCTCTCAAAGAGTTCAAATAGTTTATTTTTACTTGTATTTTTACACAAGGTGGGTTGCTCAGACCCACGTACGTAAGGTGAGATGTTGGTCTAGTTTTAGATTTCTTATTTCGTGGCGTTTCCTCAAGTGACTTGTATTATCCATCGTTTTCCTCTTTCCACCTCTGCTGGCAAACACGGTCGGCACCAGGGCCCGATGCCGGCGTCATTCCGTTGGGTTTTTGGTCCTTGGATATATTCCGCTTCCATAAAGTAACACGATGGCGCCCGATCGAGCGCCGTTCCGCCGGGTTTTGGATCCGCTCCTCCTTCCTCCGTTACTCACCGCGTCCATCGGTTTCCGTCCTCACGCCGCGCCGTAGCGTTATTAGTTGCCGGCTCCCAGCCAGTGGCCGCAGATGCACCAAAGAGTCGGGATCAGCCGGCAGGCCAGTGGCGGCCGCTGTGTGCCTCTCCGGTGGGCTGACCCACACTCAAGTGACCTTAGAGGTTGTTGTGGCCTTTGTACTCGAGCGGGCGGCGGGGTGGATCGTGTCGACGCCCCGCCGTCCGTCCAGAAATGTTTTGTCGAGATCCGATGAGTGATCGCACGCCTTGCACTAACTCCAGTCGGCGACCAATACACTCGGACGCCAGAGGCGGTGGTTTGTTTCGCCGTCTGACCTAGAGCGCCATCTGCACCGCGGGATTTTGCAGATGACAGAATACGGCTGTGAGCCGACATCGGTCTGCACTCGCCAGCGGGCCGACAGTTCTACATGTTGGGTCGGGGTCCGAGAGGTCGTCCAAATATTTCCAGATGAGTCACCTATCCGAAACTCCCTCAGTCCCTTCCAACATGATAGGTTACTAGGTCGAGGGGAAGGTCTAAAGATCGCTTCGTGTCAGCTGTCAAGTAGAAATCGGCTAAACGCCTGACTTCAAACTACATCGATGGAGCATTTTTTTTTTGCTTGCTCCCCTAGCCACGACTTCGGGGCTGTTCATTTCAACGCCGATGACCACTGTAGTCCGCCCCCTCCCTGTTCATTCCAAGCTTAAACACGCGCACATACGTACGGCTCCGATCATCAGCTGGGTTTGTTGGTTCATTTTGTAGAAATCACAACTAATTTGCACATAAGATGCCGTTTACTAATGCAGGAACCATATGAGACATCCTCATAGCTTATGTTGGACATGTATTACGTATGCATCAGTCGTGGACCAGAGCTTTCATAGCGTCGTTGGTCTCATCATTTGGACATGTATCGGCCATTTCAGAGTAAAATCAATCCCTGGAGCGACCGGTGCATCACTGAGGTCACAGCAGCACAGAAGCGTTTGTAGTTCGGATTGCACAACCCGATGAACCTGGTAGGAAAGTATAGCCCGGTGACGGACTGCTCCGGTTGTTTTGCAATAGAAACACACAATTTTAACGAAAACTGTTTGACTGGTTTTCAAATAACCTGCGGTTACGAAACAAAAAGCCAACGAAGCATGCACTAAGCACTGAATAAATATAAATCCACGTAAAACCGTGCCATGGCCCGCAATCAGAATGACATGAAATTTGATAATTTGTAAAATCATGTACCTACCCGACACCCGTGCGATGAAAATGACAAATATAGCCAGTGAGGTACCTCAAAATGCAGTTGAATGTAATCATGACATATTGCGGTTGGCAATCGTCAGCGTACGTAAGCTTACTTCCTGGTTTAATATCATCAGCAAACAAGCACAATACAAATAAGCAACATTAAGGTTGCCTCAAATTCAACAATCACAAAGCATGACAGAATCTACGAGTAGTTAGATGCGTAACAGACATAAAGCTCTATTGAAGAATGGCACACAAGCGAATGTTCATTTGCTCTTGCTGGCTTCCCTCCATTGGGCGATTTTCGGCTTCATGTGTTCTTGGTACATTTGGTAGCAAACGCCTAGCGTCAAACAACTGACAACAAAGCCCTGAGCGCCCACCCGCATGTGGATCAGGTACACCGACAGCTTCATGTCCTTGGGCTTATGCCGCAAGTGGTACAGGTTGTAGCCAACCACGCCAACCAGACCAGCCAAACCTGCGACCAAGCAAAGCATCGATTGTGAAAAAGTTTGGTGGCAGTCAACACACCACTACCATTCACCACTGTTTATTCGCAGTTTTCAATGCTGCTGAAAAATTCAGGTCTTTATGTTTTTTTTTTTATAATCATCCACACTCATTTAATGTGAAATCTTCGATTCTACTATAGTGAAGATGCTAGGTCAATAACTAAAAATGTATGATTTTTTTCTTATTTATGCTGATGACCTAGACGTACTGTGATAAAAGGAAAAAAATATTCAGTAGTGTAAAGTTTTTCTATTAGTTTTTAGTTCACATTGCATTCCCTTGGTAGGTTTATAGCATCTAATGTGTACTCCTCTTCAGGTCAAGGCATGTGAAATTAATGTGCCTTTTGGCTTACCTGCCACCATAAAAGGAGACTCCTTCATTTTTCTGGCTAGTTTTGAGCCCTCAGCCTGCTCAAATGATTCACTTGGAATTTCCCTGGATGGATCCATGTTGTGAAAGCCTGTGAAGAAAAAGATATCATTTCAGAAATGAGCTATTATTATATATTTTCTGTTTCTGTGCCTGACAGGGCCCTCTGTGCCTGAGATTGCCCTCTGTGCCTGAGAGGGCCCTCAATGTGCCTGAAAGGACCCTCTGTGTGCCTGAGAGGATCCTGTTCATTCCAAAGGGCCCTATGTTTACTTCACAAGGTCCCCCATTTGCCTAAAGGCGCCCTCTGATAGTCCTCAAATGGTCCCTAAAAGAGTTCCCCCAATACTTTTTCAGTATGCAAAAAAATGGGAAGTGGTCAAGAGGGCCCTCAAAGTCATTTCATTTTGTTCAGAGTTAATTTTTTTAGGCTCCAGGGAGGGGGGGGGGGTTCAAGGACCCCCAGGACCCCCCTTAGATATGCCACTGAATACTACTTGTTACGTATGTTATTCATGATACAAAAATAACAGGTAGCTACAGTGTGATTCTCTCAAGACAGTTTTTACGTGATGGAGGGTGGCTCTGACTTTTTGCCATTCACAAGGCCAAAGCAAGTAGCAACAATTTCTTAGTTTGGAGGTAATACTTTTTGCATGGGTACTGCTTTTTTCTACCTATTTAAACAAAAATATCAGTCATGATGGGCCTTTTATCCACCGTAATAATACATTTAAAGTCAAAAAGGTAGGTACTACAGGTACCTACCAAAATGAATAAAAAATTGATTCCATGTCCATAAATGGACATGGCTCCTCCCACCAGAATCAAATTATTGGGTCTGTTCCAGTCACACTTCCTAACACCTCTAAACTCCTCCAAGATTGCTTCCCTGTTCCAGTGGCACAAGGCCATATATCAGTGGCAGCTCTAGCCCCTAAAAAGCCAAGGAGGGCCCTGCTCCAACCAATATTCCTATAGATAGCTCCAACCTCCTCTATCTTGCTCTTGGAGGAGTTTAGAGATGTAAGGAAGTGTGACTATTGATGCCTCCATATTTTGATTCCAGAGGTCTAGTTTGCCCAACTGATGGATGGTACACTCTTCTGTGCCAACTGTGGCCACCACCCAGTTTGAGTTAAACTTTTTAGGTGTGCCAAGACCCAATATTACAAAGATTGCTAAGTTGCCAAATAATGCACCAAGAAGGGTCCTATTTGAACTCAATATACAAAAACAAAATTAGTCATGAGAATGTGGTGAACCTCTCTTTTCATTTTGATTTCTTGACATCATTTCACGAATGCAAAGTCAGCTTACCGAGATCGAGGTGTGCAGGTTGCAGCCCAGACGGATGTCAAGATGATACTACGCTTCAAATACTTGTGCCTAGGCCAGGCAGTCTTGATCCGCTATGCACTACTGACCTACGCAATACTTCTACGGCTGTTGCAACGTTGCAACCAGGGGCGGCGCCACGGGTTTTCGATAGGGGGGGACGGGGACCTTGCCTGACCGAAAATCCCAAAAGTAGATACTGATCGTGTATGCAAAAAAAAAAAAACGAGGCACGTAACGCCGCGAAACTTGGCAAAGCCCAAAACACATCGAATGGTGCATCCCGTTTCCAAACTTATCCTAGGACACCTAAGATCGATCACCTTTTCAAGCATCCTTGCCTCTAAAGTCTAAATCAAAATTTGCAGTCTTGCCAACTCAAAGCTGGTTTCCTACAAGCTGCGAATTGCTTAGGTATGAGTAGCAGTGCCAACTATTCTTACGTTTCGTACTTTCAAATTTTCGATCTTACGTCTGGTCAGCTTTATGGCTTCACCATCAAATAGTCATGGAGGAAAAGTGGGAATGTCTTCTGCTCTGACAAGTGCGCCAAAACTGCTATATAATTTCAGAATCATGACATCACCACCTGATCCATATGCAACGGGCAGGGTGCAGCTAATGGCTAGCCGTCAGTGGTCATGTCATCGGTGGTCACTCAAAAGGTCATGCTAGGTCATGGAAGGTCACCAGCCGTTATTTGATCACACTTTCTGATGGATTTTCTTACCAAGAGCTTCGCGGAAAAAACGAGCGCATGCACCGTTGAAAAAAAAAAATTGAGTGAAAGGGTCTCAGGTCCGACGACCTCTGCAGGTGAAATGCCCCAGGTTGGATTCCGGTCCTTGTTGATTAACTTCGTCAAAAATGGCAGTAGAGCTGTGATGTCGGCACCATTGTGTTCGTCATGATCGAGCTGGCACGACCTGCATCGTTCTCATATTCACCCTCCAATCGTAACAACTACAGCAGGGATTGGCAAATGGCGGGGCACCCCCTTTGGGAGGTAATGAAGGTCTCTGGAAACCTCATCCCTCATCTCTTTAGCATTAGTGGCTCTCCTTATGGAACAGGTCTCTTGGCTGGTCTGTTTCACCCCAGAATTCAAAGACTAGTCAAGGTAAAACCGAGCGCACCACAGTGAGCACAATTTGATAAGCTGGTGTAGGTATCTCAATTTTCATGTAGAACCTTTCACGTATCACGTACCTAAAACCCTTTCGTGCACTCATGCAAAAGCAACTGCCATGTTTCAACAGCTGGTAATGGCATTTTCACAGCCGCTGACGTAAGAAGGGGAGGGGGGCTCGATTAGACCCCCAGCCGTTCGGCCGCCCACCGAACTTAGTTTTGAAGAAAAAAAGAGTGCTATCGAACCCCTTGACGAGAGGGAGCCGATGCTACCCAATTATAAGGTCTTGGGCTACTGCGTGCTTTTTGGTCCTGCCTGTAATCTATCCGAACACTTCTCCCCAAGTGCTGGGGTTAAATGGCATAGATTTCAAATGGTTCCTGTGGTAGAACTGCCATGCTTGAATTTGACTTACATATTAGGAATGGACAATATCCATAGAGTAACGGAAATCTATTGAATTTCAGTAGACTTGGTTTTGTCGGCAATGGGGTCTGGCAGTGGGGTGGGGAGGTAATAACCCTGTGCCTGGCGCCCCAAAAAAGGGAGGGGCACGATCCCCGCTACCGATCACCTTATAACTACAGGCATCACAGCTCCACACCTTTTGCAGATGGCCAGGACCCCCTGCAATACATCCCAACAGCAATTTTTATTCAGAACCTGCCTTGATTAACCAACGATGCATTAAATG